TTTAGTTACTAAAACAAAGCTAATGATTCTATGTTGTTCGAGAATAGCGGGAAATTGAATGTACAATTACAGCTAACAAGACTCAACCTCAAAACTAACATTTCTGCGGAAGTGTGTAGCCGTCGGTGGGGGAAATTAAAAATGAAAGATACGCTAACATTAATCTATTATGGGATTCTTTGAAAACCAGTTTTTCTGGATTATTATTTGCGGTTTGGTTCGCATATATCTGAAGCCTGATAGTAGCTGTTGTGACTGTTTTTTTTATTAGACATATAGCGATCAACCAAATTTCGACCTCGGTTCACTGTCTCATCAGCAACCCCAATGATATTTAAATCGTGGACTTGGAAATTATAAGACAATATTCTTACAACTTAAATCACATGAGCCTTTTGTCATTATGCTGTTTGGCAGGCATGACCGACAATTAAATGTAAACCCATTAGGATACTGATCACTACAAATTATCCATAGTACTCATTCTTGCTTGACGTTGCTTAAACAATGATAATAGTAATGATAACTCAAATATTCCTTTATTCTCTTCTTTATTCTAGCCCATTTCCTCTCTACTCTCTTTTTATCTCTTTACCTGCCCTGCTTTTTCCCCTTTCCCTACCCAATTTTTGTTTGCAGCCTTGTTTTTATGTTCGGCGACCTCAACTACAGGATAGCCGGATTGGAGGCAAGCGCTGTGCGTGAAATGATTGAGCACAAGAAAGGCAAGGCCTTGGATGAGTTGTTGAGCTTTGACGAAGTGAGCTTCTATCGAGCTTTGATGTTGTATTCTTTGCGTCATTTATGTTAGAGGTATCACTTGTATGATCTTAGTCTCTGGCTGTACAATTTGGTGATCAGAATTGATCAAATCCAACTTTGTTAGTGGTAAGCGGACTCCTACTTCTGTTTAGTATCAATACTAGATTTTCATCTTTTATACTGTCGACAGTTCGCATATACCAACTGCTTCTGAGTTGTATAAATTTTGGCTTCTTTCCTAACTGAATTTATTCTGATCCTGATTCAATTTGCTGCATTAATGATGTATATTATTCTTTGCCAGACCGTCTAGGAATCCAAACACCTACTCATTAATTCTATTTTTTCTGCATTTCTCTTTGATCTTAAGTTAATCATGAATCGCAACGCCAATCGAACCTTCTCGGGCTTTACTGAGGGCAAAATTGACTTCCTGCCAACGTACAAGTTTACTCCACACTCTGATGAATATGATCGAGGGTAAGTCATGA